CTGCTTCCTCAACCCACCTCAAAATAGCCACAGAAAGAGCTCCCTGCCCGGGCAGCAGGATGAAAGGAAAAGCATGCACTTGAAATGGAAAAGGCTCAACTGCAAGCTAGATTCGAACGGATGGAAATGGAAGCCAGCCTAGCTGAATCTGATGCAAAAATGAAAGTTCTGGAGCATTTTGAGACTGGTTCACAAAATCCAACACAAGACGGCATGAATGACTATGTAAAAGACTACAGAGTAAAACCACATATGTCAATGGATGCAGAGCCGTCTCCAATTACCTTTGCTGAGTTTGGAGCCATTCCCAAAACACCACTTCAAAGGTTTCTATACCAACAACCAAGACCACCAGAAAATATTGATAATACAAACCAAAGCCCTCAACACACAGCTAGAGATGCAGGAATTACAGGGACAAATAATAAATGACAATTTCCTGACTGTGATGCAGAGACAAAATGACATTGTTAATTTACTTGTACTTCAACAAAAGCACACATCACTGCCCACTAGGGAAATCCCAGTCTTTGATGGCAATCCCCTGAATTATCAAATATTTGTGAGGGCATTTCAACATGGCATTGAGGAGAAAACCACCAGTAACCAGGATCGATTATATTACCTGGAGCAATATACTTCGGGATCCTGCAGGGAACTGGTGAGAAGCTGCCTTCATATGGATGCTAATAGTGGCTTTGCTGAAGCTAAGAGACTGCTAAAAGTGCATTTTGGAGATGAGCTCAAGATAGCAAACGCATATATGGGGAAAGCTCTCAACTGGAACACTATAAAGGCAGAGGATGGAAAGTCACTGCACTGTTATGCACTTTTTCTGAGAGGCTGCTGTAATGCAATGAGGGATCTGCAGGACATGGAGGAGCTGGACCTGCCATCCAACCTACGGCTCATTCTTTCAAAGCTACCTTACAAACTAAGGGAGAAGTGGAGAACAGCAGCTTGTGATATTCTGGATCGGAGCCATCAAAGAGCAAAATTGCATGACCTTGTTGTATTTATTGAAAGACAAGCTAGAATACTTCAAGACCCTCTCTTTGGTGACATTCACGATCATCAACTTAACAGTGCAAAGACTTTCATTACAACTCCTGCTGATTTAAGCCGAAATAAGTGCAAGGGAAGCAGTTTTGCTACCACAGTGGCTATAGTGTCAGACAGCCATGCAGAGAAACCCAAAGAAGACAATTATCTTGTTAAAAGCTACATTTCCTCCACTAACAATGACACCTCCATAGACTGTATATATAAATGGACGTAGGGTCCGTGACGTCACCCATAGGATTCTGCAGAGTTGCCGAGAAGCCCTTAGTAGGCGGAGTCGGCCACTAACGGCTCGACAGTGACGTCTGAGTCTAACTCCCGCCTGCTCCAAATAAGGGCAAAGAGGCGGAGCCGAGGCGGGACCTGCTGCCTCCAGCTGGGAAGTAACAGAGCTAGCTCAAGCTAAGAAGCTAAGCTAACATGCTTCCCCATCTGCACACTGCCGTCACATTTTACGTTTCTAAGGTAAGCGGACATGAAACTATTCAGCAAAACTATAAATAATAATCTAAGTTATTGAGTTTTTAGCATAATACTTCAGAATCTTAAAATCGCTTAACGTTTGTATGCAATGTGCTAAATGCAACACTGGAATCAAGCAAATGAATATGTTTGCATGACATTAGTTATTTATATTTTGCTATCACTTAATTATACGTTTAATACATTTAAGTTAAGCTAAGGTGCATGTGATGGTAGCTAGTTAGTGCTCTTACCTGTGAGGCCTCCTCCAAACAGCATTATAACCAGACTGTATCATTAAAACTACAAGTACCAGTTCTAGATCCTTGACTTTAGACAAACAATTCAAAAGACAAAATGTATTTAAAGACCAATCTTTATTTGAAGGTGCCTCTTAACCTGGGATATTAGTTATACAGTAATATTATTGACAATCTAAAAAAACTGAGCAACTCAACAGTCAACTTTATATTTCTTATTGTCTAAAGCATTTATTATTTTCATTTTCCCCCACTCATATTCAGTGTGGACGGATTGAGACAGCGTGGTGTCCAGAGAGCTGCAGAGACTTCAGGGAGAAACCTCCGTGTGATGGACGTCCAGTCTGTTGGTTTGGAGAGGACTGAGGGTCGTTCCTCTGCGAGAAGGACCAGGCCTGATGGAGGAGCCCATGCATAGCTGATACCACCTGATCAGGCCTTGTCTGTCACTTTATTTGACTAAATGTGTTTACTTATACATTTAATAGGTTTACACCTTCTGTCCATATGTGCTTTTTTATTTAAAACATGTTTGATTAACTTTTGGTTTGTATTTGCACTCCTTTTGTCCATTATTCTTACTGAAAATGTTAGATTACACATTCACATCTGACTGAAGATTGGCCCCATTTATTTGTGACGTTGCAAACTCTGCGGTACAAGGCACATGTTGTGAAGCTCATAAAGTGAGGCAAATAGAATTAATCAGCTGATGGAGTGTAGATGTGGAAATAGGTGCATTCGATCAGCTGACTTCACAATAAAAGTAGTTTCTTAGTGAATGTCCTGTACTGCTCTTAAAATCTCATAACATCAGCTTTTAATTTTCCTCTTGGATGTTCTTCTTGACCCTCAGAGAAGGAGAACATGTTGAGTCGTGTCTTTCAGGCATGTCCTTTCCTAACAAAAATTACAGGAAACATAAAACATATTATTGCAGAACAAGTGTGTTATTTATGAAAGAGGTGTGTTTGTGTTTAGGGGCTGTAGATATAATTATTTTGTAATTGTAATGTTTTATTTCAACAGTGAGCTACAAAGACAATCAGATTATGAATGAACAGTATGACATTCATCAACATTGAAATATATTTTATTATCAAAATAATATTTAACTGTTATCAAAACTTAGTGCAACTGTAGAAGCTTGCTCTGTTCTCTCACTGAAATCATAACTTTTACCACGTTTTTTACAGACAATATTGAGAGATAAATAGCAGTTCTCACTAATAGCTTTGCCTTCAATACCTTAAATTAGAAAGCTGACAAAGTAATATTGCTTGTTAACATGTAACCCTTTGCATGGAAAAAACCCTCAACTTCACTGATGTGTAGGTGATCTAGTATTTAGTATTGTTTAATGGAATGTATATCAGTGTATTAAAGTCAATACTTCATTTATTTAAACCAATATCTTTCTTGATTCTTTGTACAGTATGAAAAAAGAGTATTTGTACCTGTGCTGAAGTTCACTGCTGTGAGGAGTCAAGTTCTGTCTCTCACTCTCTGGTCCAGCCTGTCTGCATCACCTGGACACTTTAAACAAACAGATATATATGTAAAGAACCATGTGTACAAACAATATAACTTATTATCTTCTGTTGAACATGTTGGATTGTGTATTGGCCGAGTCAGGGTCCTTTTTTATTTTACTGTAACTTTGGAAGTTGTGTTACCAATGCTTACTGTTTATTTGATACCAATTTGGTAATGCAATTAATAAAAACAACAAGGTTTGGGTTCGTTCTTCAGATGACTGTGACGTTAACGTGTAAGCTCAATAATGAACTCCAGCTCAACCAACCATATTGTAATATCTAAGTAATCATCTTGAAATATGACATTAATAATTGTAATATACACACATCTTATTGTGAGGTTGATTTCACATACACTACTTCGACGTTAGCTTGTCTACATACTTGAGCATAGCCAATTTAAATTAACCTTAGCGATGCATACAGTTCCTACCTACATAATAAAATATCTCTCTAAGTTACAAGGATGACCTTATTTTATCAACCTCAAACAGAAGCCTTTTGTTCTACAGTACTATCTCACTTAACGCTTAACACTTGTCTATTTCATTTTAACCTTTATATATACAGTCTATGGTTTTAAGTTAACTTGGAGGATACGATTAGCATCGTTAGCACCGATGTAGCTACCACTCGCTTACACGCTAACCCAAGCCTTAACATTCATTACGTAGCTGATTAAAATCATAAACACATAAATAAAGTACTCGAATTTCACTTACCGCAAAACGGCATTCATGCACCGTCTGTTTTAACCGCAGAGCGAGTCACAATAGTCCCATATATAAGCATGAAGAACAAACAAACACGGTCGGGGTCAAGTTTTGTTCCCTGGATGAACTGGGCAGGCAGAGTCCCTGTAGCTTGACGGACGGAGCAGCTAGCAGAGAGACAAGAAGCTAACAGCAGCAGTCACCTGACAGAGCTGTCACTCAATGTGACCACGCCCTAATTTATGCAAAAACTTTAAGACCTAATATAAATAAAAGGGTCATGTTAGAAAACAATTCACTCACAGATCCATAATCATGAAGGTGGAATCTAACTATATCTATAATAATATTTATTGGATCCATGGGTAGAAACATGTTTTTTTAGGCTGTAAAATTGGACATTTTAACATGGGACTATGGAAATTGCTCCTTTCTGCAGTCAGCGCCTATCGGCCAATATATGAACTGCAGTTTGTGGCACTTCCGTATTGGCGTCCCGGCTCTTCCCCAGAGTTTGCCGCTTGGACACCTCATGTACCTTTTGTACCAGCATGCATCCTTTAGCTGAATGCCATACAATACATTCAATATCTCATGAAGCTAAAATTGAGTTTCTGAAAGAGAAAGGACTATGCTTTGGCTGCCTGAAGGTGGGGCACTTGAGCAGGAACTGTAACAGGAGAATGACCTGTCAAATCTGTCATGCTAGACACCCAACTATTCTGCACATTAAAAGATCTTCTAAGCCTGAAACTGAGAACTTTAAACATGATAAGACAGAGCAGAAGAGTGGAGGAGCAAGGCCTGAAGAGACATCCATCAGCAGTGTTCTTGTTTCAGTAGGAGAAGGTGAAGGAATCGGGGCTGGTAAAGACAGCATACTTGCCATAGTGCCAGTGAAGGTGAAACTCTGCCATGGAAATAAAAGTATACTGACCTATGCATTCCTGGACCCTGGTAGTACTGACACATTTTGCACAGAGGGGCTCATGAGGCAGCTTGGTGCTAGAGGACGGAGAACTGAAGTCCTTCTTCAAACGATGGGAACAGAGAAAACAGTCAGGAGTTTTGAGGTAACGGGTCTAGAAGTGGGCAATGTGGAAGATGGCACATATATAAAGTTGCCCAAGGTTTACACTCAGAACAAAATCCGTTACCAAAAGAAACATTCTTACCCAGGCGGACCTCAAGAAATGGCCTTATCTGCAGGAAATCCAAATAAAAGAATTAGATGCTGACGTGGGACTTCTTCAGGGCTCTCGACTAACTTTTAACAGGACGTCCTTAAGCTCGAGCCCTGCTTCTTATTGGAGTAAATACTCCAAAGGCTATGGAACCATGGAAAGTTATAAATACCCAAGGAAACGGCCCATATGCAGTGAAAACACTGTCAGGATGGGTCGTTAATGGTCCACCTAATGCTTCCACAGATCCGGATGATGAAACCCCTGTGGCAGTAGTGAACAGGACCTCAATTGTTCACCTTGAGAAGCTTAATGAAAGACAATATATTAATGACTTTCCAGAAAACGAGTATGAAGAGGAAAGACAAATGTCAGCTGATGACCGAAAGCTCCTGCAGAGGAGAGAGAAAAGAGGAAAGATTGCTCCACTGATCTTGGAGTAAAGCAGGATAAAGGAAAGCGACTGAAGGATCAGATGCTTCTGCTCAAAAGGCCTACAGCTAATGCACTAAGACTTTCAGTAGAGGACACGGAAAATGCTGAAAAGGCCATTATTTGCCACGAGCAGAGACAGCATTTCAAAGAGGATTTTGCCTTGCTGGAAAAAGCCAAACAGTGCAATAGAGGAAGCTCCCTATACAAGCTGGACTCTATCATTGATGCTGGGATTCTGAGAGTTGGAGGAAGAACTACTAATGGCGCATTTCCACTACAGCCCGCAGCCCGGTTTAAGAGGGCTGTGACGTCAGCGGCCCGTTTGTGGTTGCGTTTCCACTTGGCCTAGTACCGGCCGGCGGGTCCTAATTCACAGTTTTTCTGGCCTCATAAAATCGTGGGGCCAGGGCCAAAGACAACCGGGCTGAGTTTGTGACGTCAACGCTCTCGGCTGCTGATTGGTCGGAGAGAATCGTCACAATCTGCGCGCGAGTTAATCCATTTTTACAAACAGCATTTTTGTTAACAGAGGAGCTACAACAATGGCAAAGAAAAGCACACCATGGTCGGTCGAGGAAGTGACGACGTCCATTATATTGCAGATGATAAGGTCCAGCGGGTGCTCGACGGGACAACTCGCAATATCAAAGTCTTTCAGGAGGTCTCTACACAGACACTGGACTCTCCAGCGGCGTTACTGGAGTCTGCATGGTACGTTTTTGCTAACGCTCTTTTATAAAGCTTTGTGTCCCTGCTTTGTGTCCCTGCTTTGTGTCCCTATCTGTTCTAAAGCTCACTTCTAACAAATAAGTCTATTTTATCCTTACATTTATGTTCGACAACTGTTGATAATTTGTGATCTTCTCGCTCCCAGGAAAGAAACTTAAAATAACGAGACTAATGGAGTCTCTGAAAAGGTTCAAATGGGTAGTTTAATTAAGTAACGTGGTTAAAGAACAAGCATGGTGAATGGAGAGACAAAGCCGGTGTTGTCTTGAGGGAGGCTGCAGCGAAGGGAAGCGAGTGCGTTATCTTTCGTCCTGCCTTTTTATCCACGTCTCGTTGTCCCCCGCTGTGCAAATAGTGGGTGGCCCCCTACTCATTTGCCGGTTCGATATCGCGAGAGCACAGATGATTTCGACATTGATATTCTCTGCCTACTTCCTTAAGCATTTTCTCCTCATTATCTCTGTCATGACTTTCTATTTAATACCTTATAAACAGCTGTAATACTTAGTTTAGAAGTCCTAGTGGTTCCGCTCCGGCACAGTTCTTATTTTACGGAAATTCCCTCTGACGTCATAGCTTCTCACGTATCTGTAAACACTACGATCGACTAGACCTTCATTTAATATTCAGCAGTAATAATATCTTAACGTCTATCGATGTAGTGTTAAAGTCCGTACGTTTGTGTGTAACACTCCAAGTCATTTTCACTTTACATTCAGAAAACGCAACATTAGTCACAAGCTAACCGGATAAAGGATTTTTCAGAATAAAAGCTTGGCATTGATTTCCTGAGAACTTCCGGGCTTTTCCACAATAAAACAGCTTTAAACTGACGATATGTTTTAGACTGAATTATGCTGTTTAACATTGATTTTAATTTCTAACAATCCCTCCTTTCACACCATTTAAGGTGTGAACACAATACTAAAAGTAATAAGTTCTTCATCTGACTGCTTTTAAACTGACGGTATGTTTTAGACTAAATCATGCCATAAAACATTGAATTTTAATTTCTAACAATCCCTCCTTTCACACCTTTTAAGGTGTGAACACAATACTGAAATCAATGAGTTCTTCATCTGAACTTTGCATAGTACATAACTCATATCAAAAACATACTATCAAAATGGAATGGTTCAAATAACCGTCATCAAAAATACAAACAATACATTGGTTGGTCTTCTGGTGTAAAAGTTTTCCCTTGTGCATAACTTTTAGTTTTAACATTCAATATCACTTTTTAAAATAGCAGCAACTTGTGGTATTAGAACATTTCTTACTCCCTCCTTTCACAGAAACCGTTCCCATACCACATTCAGTGTTAAGGCACTTGTTTTACAAAGTATAAAAACATACTATTTAAAAATCGCATCACTAATAACAGTATAAAACATAAAAGTTAGAAACCTTTTTTGAATAGTGCAAAGTAATACCACTTTGTAGCTGGTTCTTTATTCTAATGATTTCATCATTTGAAATATATTTCATCATTTGAAATATCACATGATTTGGACATTCTTTGAACAATCTCATCATTTATCATCCATATCATTTAACATCATTTACACACTGTCTTCATTTTCATCAATATCTGTATATGGGTTGAGTCGTCTTGTTCTGCTAGCAATTGAAACTGTTCCCTTATGAGAAATTTACCCTCCCCCCTTTCATACTTTTTAAAGTATGAAAGTAATATGTTCTCTAGAAAAGGCCGTGGTGATCAATCGGTACGTTAGGGTGCGGGTACATGGAATGCAACTCCAACATCTAGCACTCCCCTGGGCACCCCTATGCTATCCTTGTACACTGTCGAGCCTAAACTCCCTCCTTTGACTGGTCTCTTAGCCCTACTGGTTTTGGGGCGTTTCGCCATGTTGATTAACTGCCCCACTGTCATTGGTACTGCATATAAAACATCACTGGCTGTACAAGTGCACAGGTCCCAGTCTAATCCTGTAGCAAGACTGCATACAAGGGTTTAGTTCCATGATACCATCAAACATCTACTCTGGGATACGGCATTTCAGACAGTCATTTCTGGGAGAAGATTTTGGTCAGTTACAACAATTGGAGAATTTCATCACTTATGGTTCCTACTTCAGTACCTTTGGGTGGTCCGTTCTAATGCAGTGATAAAGTTCCTTAAATGGTGTGAAAACCGGTGGAATTTCAATAACTCATTTCACTAATTTATCTTCAATTCTAGTCTGTTTAAAGAACTATGCTAACCCCTTTAACAGTGTGTGGAACCTTGGGTGTCCGAGCATGTAACAGTTACTCCCTCCTCTATCAAGGATTTTAAAAACAGTAGTTATTTCATCCATGGTTTGTAGTTCAATTTAGGAATTTTCACTTATGGCGGATATGTTTCTACTTTAAATAACATCTCTAAATTTCAGGTCATCCCTGATTAAATGGATGACCATCAGGAGGTGGTGGCGCTTGTCTTTTAAACTCATAATTTGGTGCCGTGCGCTCCCTGTGAAGCTACAAGTAAGATTTAAAACAACTGCTGGGTGGGTTGAGTGACCCCTTCTCTCTAAACGATATGGGTTGTCAAAAATATGCATCATTGCAATGAGTGATCCAAGGCCCCGCAAGTATTACTCCATATTATATTGCTTTTTCCAAAATTAAATTTGCAATCGCTCTTTGCCCAGTGTCCTTTAAAACTCTACATCTTGGACAAACAAATGTTATTTCCACCTTAACAGTTCTCCTATGGTAATAACTATGCTACAATGGCGAAAACAATACTTTAGATTGGGATACTATATTTGGCTTGGTATTAGCTCTCCCTTTAACATTGTCCAACTAACACAGATTTGTCTGCTCTTATAGAGTGGTCACTAAAACTATCCCTTTAGCTGTAGATCAATATTGTAACACATTAGATCTCTACCAAATTCACCCATGAATAAAATCTTTTAGGGAATAATTCGTTTACATGATGGAAAGATTGAAAAATATGTTCTACTCTGTACTCCTAAGTCCCACAACACTCACTGCTTAAAGTGTAAAGTGTGATGAATATTTCCATCATGTCTACTCCTTTATCTCACAGTACCCTCAGTGTGTTTTAGGATTATTTCCCCATTTTACTTTAACAGTTTCCTCTTTATTACTATTTTAATTTACCAATTTATTAATTCATGGCTAATAAATCTTTTTGTCTTTACGTATTTATCAAGTCAATTCAAGTTTGTTTGTGAATAAGTGTGTTTATGTATAAACTCACTCACTCCCGTTTTCCTTTTCTCCTCCTCTTGTTGTCTCAAGCCACGACCCCCTCACATTCTGTTAGACCATGCCAACTCCTCTGGTTCCGTCTTCTCCTCAGTCCATCAGCTCTTAAATCCTTTCGCTGGTACTCTTTTCAGTGGCCCAACTGCTTTGCATTTCATCTCCTTCTTTACAGTCTCTTCGCTGTTGTATGGAGGGCGTATTCTGCTTTCATGTCCCACACTCTGCTCTTGTGCCAAATCTCGTGGCTCAGCTTGGAACTTCATGTCCTGGGTTAGGGACTGATGAGAGTATGCCTCTTTATGTCAGCATGCTGTTCTGGTTCTGGATGCCGCAGGTGGAGAAGGTTCTGGATGCAGTCTTGTCGTTGTTGGTTCAGCTCTGGTTCTCTGTCTGTTCGATGGAGGAGGAGGAGGAGGAGTCTCCTATAGAGGTCTTTTGTCTGATAGGGGTCGTAGCAGTCTGACAGGCAGAGAGAGAGAGTCCAGGTCTCGGGACGCATTACCTATAGAAATTCTAACACACTGAGGTAAAGTAAATCTAACCTTCTCCACTCTATCTTCTAATCATACTATCTGTTTTAAATGTTAAATGCCATCTAAACACAATTAATGTCTACTAATAAATGTACTATATCTCTAAACATTGTTTTTTCTCCCACTGTAACACATCTACTCCAAATAACTCTTTCAGGAAACCATTTTCTTCTATAAATTGAAATACTTACATGTTTCAAGCACCACATGTTTCACACACTATAAAAGGACGTCTCCACATATTCTCCAATATTTTAAATCTCACTATTACTTAGAACAATAGTAACTTTTGTGACTGGATACATCTGTGCACAGTCGCCACAATCTGTTGGGGAATTTTGTTCATAGAGTTTGTACATACAGTTGTCCTCGTGGGTTAGTACCCTGTTTCTACTGTAATAACTTTTCAATAATTGTGCTCAGGTCACCAGTCGGTTGTCCA